GTAATGAACATCGACTTATTGTGTGCTTAAATGTTGTCTTTTATTACTGTAAACGATGATAAAAAATCAAATCAAAAGTCAAAGGATTTAGTATTCAGTTGACGAATAACGATGAATGAATAAATGTGTAAAAAGATTTTTAATTCTTACTTTACACACAATCCGATGGCACAAGATGTATAAATTCGCTTCTTGATACAAACCTCAATATCAAAACTATTATCTCATAACGATAATATATTAGTGTTCTGCAAAACACTATTTGATAAGTAAAGAGTTTTAACTCATAGTCTATAGACTATGACTTGTTGATGTCTACTGTTAGGTGGTATCGTCACCTTTTTCTCACGTCATATATGTATAGTTTCTTTCGTTCTGTTGTTACATATACATATATGACATATAGTGTGATTCATCTTCTTCTATATATGTTCTCGTTCTTTTTTCTATCGTTCATGGATTTTTCCTATAGTTATGTTATATGGATTTCTCCTCTTCTATCATCTATGTATGTGACGCTATATGTTATGGGACTTTTCCTCGTCTTGTTCCCTTGATCTCATGTTGGACATTTCCCTTACAGGGTGTTCCACCATCCTATATATAGCGTGTGCTTTTATACGAATAAACAAAGAGGATTATCATCTTCATCTTTTCATCTTCACACTACTAATCAATCGAAATTATATACATTCTAATGTTTACGCAATAGATAATTAATAATATAATGATAAAACAGTGGTTACTTCTGGCATAAAAAATTATTTACGAAAACTTCCCCAAAGGTAATCGTCAGAAAATAATTCTTTATGTGAAATAAAGAAGGCAAGATATTTCAAATAAGTTTTCTATAAATCATATTCGTACCAATATGATTTTCTAATTAAATTAAACTCACGATACATATACAGGATAGATAAGCCCAATAATGTTGCAAAGAATATCATTGCCCCATCCAAATATAAGATAGATAGATAGAATAACACATATACCTTAAAGATACATAAAATAATCAAATGTATATCTAAGAAAACATTCATACCCAAAATAATAAAAGCTGGCTCAACACCTGTTTTCATTCTAATTAGATCAAACTTCGAGTGAAGTGGGCTGCTGTCTACGTACGAATTGATGTTATCCTTTATCTTAAGAAATTGATGCTTCATTTTGTCAACCATTTCTAAACACTTGATTTCAAATCTGGAAATATAACTAATAAAATATAATTAAAAATGCAGATTTTGAAACAATTTATAGTAAGAATCCCCTAATAGTTTCAGCATTGGCAAAGCTAATGAATTTCAATCATATAAATCAATTCTCTATCTTTTTATGTGTTTCTTAAAAATAATCAAATTTTTAAACTATTCTTATTGTGTTCACTTTAGTTCTAGAATAATTCAATTCAAATGGCTTTACGTGTCATATAGAAATGTACCCGAGTCGATATTGATCTGAATTGGAGCATTAGTATTGCAATTGTTTATATCTCAAAGCTGCCTGCACTACACTCATATCCGATGCTTTTCATACTAAACTGATAAGTGATGATGAAAATCACGAATAAATAATGAAATGAGATATTCATTGGGAAACTTACAGTCTATTTTCTGTTTGAAAGAAGATGAATTTGATTTTAAAGATTTGTTTGTATTAAAAAATTTTTGGTCAATTTTTTTCACTCCTTTCATTAGTAATTCTAAAGAAACTCATAAGAACTTTTTTCTTGTCAAATAGATCTTCACTAGATTGGAAAAATGAAATTGTTGATATATTTTTACAATTTGATATTCTTAAGAATAACACAAAGTATTAGTCTTCAGTTTTCTATATGTCTCGATTTTTCTGAGTATCTCAATTATATCTCGACGATCTATATCTAATTAACAAACTAATTCCTTTGACTTTTTTCAAACAATTTATATGTAAAACTTACCGCACTGAAATTGTTTAAATAAAATGGTGTGAAATAATCCAAGTAGCTTCAAAGTTTTGGGTTGTATTGTGAGCGTGTGTCTATATGTTTTTTTCGCCGACTAATTCGTTTCGTTTATTTTATAAAGTAATAATATTTGTAATTTTTTTTTTCTTTTTTTAACGACGCATCTGATTGCAAAAGAATTGTGCCCACTTCTGAAAGAAGATACTCATGGTAAAAAAAACAAAAAAATATTATTGCGAAAAAAAGAAAAACAACTCGTATGGATTTTGCATGCGTCTAAATTAAACAAATGCTGACAAACGAATGATTTTTTTTCTTTTATGAAAAATAAATATCTCTTCGAAAAACAGAAAAATTTGGCCAAATAGAAATCATTTAAATAAGTGTTTCTTAGATAAATAAGATTGTGATTTTGTTTCAAAAAAAAGAAATATTACTCAGGCAAGCAAGGATTATTTGACTGTGTTTTTTCCCTTATTTTGTCTGATTGTGTAGTCATGAAATTTGTTTCCAATACTTCTGCTCTCACATTAGAATATTTTAATGATTTGTGTGAAGAAGCTGCTGAAAACTGAAGTTCATAACAAGATTTTTTTACCATCTGAAACTTGTAAAATACATTACAAAATTTTCGTACGATTATTAGTGAATTATAGGAGATAGAATCCTTTTTGCCGCTATATTCTTCTTGAGGGTGTGGGTGTGAATGGGTGAGGCTGTGTATGGATGCGATAAGAGT